ACCCCTAAACCCTAAACCCTCGTAAGCGTTCCGCAGGTCTACGGCCGGGAGAAGCTAACGGCCGAGGAGGCCAAGAACCTCGTGGCGCAGATCGTGGCCCGGCTTTTTGCTCTCAACACTTTGCGAAAGCTATGTATTACAGTGTTAGGGCGTTAGGGTATATATATATATNNTATATATATGATATGTATATATATATATACATATATATATATACATATGTATATGTATATATATATATATATACGTACAACCTAACAATGTAATATATACCAGGCCTTATAAATGTTTGTTCAGCATGATAGCGCCTTGGCTCTCAAGTTCGGTGGCAGAGCTTGCAGCTGGAGATTTCGGAGTCTTCGGACGGGAGGTTCAACTGGCTGGAACGAGAAGCCGTCACAGCTCTGTACTGTGAGCTTCATGGTAGTTATAAGGGGCTATAAGTCGGGTAACTATAATTATAACCCATATTAGGGGACTTATAACCCCACTTATACCTACCCATGAACCTCCAAGTAAAGCACTTTACTTTACCTTCACAATGCGGAGCTGGATGTGCCCAGGCCACACCCCTGTAGCTAGTCTCGCCTACTTCCAGCTTGTCTCGCTCAGGAGTGCGTCGATGGCTTCTTCAGGTACGATGAATATGCTGGGGCTCAGACTGCAAGGTGATGCGAGACTGAACTCCCATGGCAGCTTTGAGAGTCTGAGTAAGAGTTCAGCGGCAGTTATTGCCCGAATCTCCACCGGAAGCAAGGTCACGATGATGATGTCGGAACACTGAGCTGCGGCACGTACTTCAGAAGCTGAAGAAGACAAGCTTGCTTGTTCCATCACGAAATACAGTACATAAGTAGCTAGCCAGCTTCCCGAACTCTCCCCTTCAGCTGGGCGTGTTTCTGAAGGACCCGCTCCTCAAGCGCATCGTCGGCAGTGGCCTTCGGTGTCATTCATAAAGTCTCACACAGCTCGCACAACCGGTGCAGGTTGAAGGTTTCACCATGAAGCGAGTAGCCACATCCAGTGGTGAGACGGCACAAAAGTGTTCGAGTCCCGTCCAGGCCAGTTGCATTTAGCAGCCAGGTTGGAAGCGAAAGTCCGGTCGTCAAAGTGTTGGCACGTTATGAGTCGCTACTGTAGCAGACTTCCATGCCGAGTTTTCTTATATTTGCCATACGTTTGCTGTGAAGACCTGCCCAGCTCTGTTCCAGTGCGCTCAAAACTACAGTGATGGCAGCCCGGACGTGTTGCGTAGTCTGACCCTCTTCCAAGACAGCAGCCATTGGATACATGAGAGTTTTTGGCGATGAAGCTTCGGCTAATTTGTGCGGCTTGATCTTAACGTCTCTTTGCATCGTACAGTCGGCATGGCGATGTTGCGGCAGAGAAGTCGCCGCCAGCTGTTCCGGCTAGCAGAGGCCTCAGCTCCAAGCCGTCGAACAATCGTGTCGATAACTGCTTGCGGCATCTCTCTTCCACGGGCATCTCGATCCGTGAGCGCGGCCTTTGAAGTCAGCCTCGTGCCGTATACGACCAGTGGATACTGCAGTGAGGCCTGAAACCAAAGACAAAACGCTGGCAGGCCCTTCCAGCTACTTTCGAGTATTCACTCAATGGTCTTATAATCGTGCTTTGAAAAGCAGCACAAAAGACGTGCTCCTTGTCTTGGGCTCAAATCTGCATGCCTTGAAATCGTCAGCATATACTGGCTGCACATCGGACCGTGACTGTTGCACCAGGAAAGCTTCACAGGTTTTTTCTGGTTCTGCAGGCCTCAAAACAACAGCCGTGAAACCCCAACGCTTTGGCATCCCAATCCTCATCACCAAAGCGTGAGGTGCTTGCAGCCGCCTGGGCGCTGTTGGCACTTGCTTTTCTAAAAAGCTCAGGCATGTTCGGTGGTCTGGAGAGGTTGAAATGGGGAGGTTTGTCTTCGACATGACCTGACCGTCAGCGGGGCCAGCTGTGATAGAGCCGATATGCGGACCATGCACACTTGGTTGCAACCTCAGCTCGAACACACTTAATGCCACAGATCACGTCGCCATGCCCAGAAGGTTCACAGGTGCAGTCACATCGGGCTAGAGAGCTGCCCGTTGCAGGCTCCACTGAGATGAAGGCCTTCCTCGCGGATCAGGCCTGGCCCGGGCAAAGAAGCCCCCGTGAGCACCAGAACCGCTCTCCGCTTTTGGCATAAATTGGCGAGCCAGGCTAAGGCCATGCAAAGGGCGCATGGGCAGCTGGAAGCTGCAGCGGCGATGTTGGGCCGCCCTCCAAGGAAGGCGAGCTCGTGCTAGTTGAATGTTTCGCTGCGGACCGGGGCCTGCACTCATGTAGCACAGGTCACTTTGAGGGAGTTCCTGCTGGACTCCACCTTCGTGCCGCCGTTGGTGGAGTACACGTCGGAAGAGACCGACGGTGTTCACCGTGCGAGAGTGGCCATCGCTGGAACGGCATATGCAGGCACGGCAGCCAGGATTTTGTTCAGGCTTCTTTCCGCTAAATCTCTCTTGTTCGTTAGATCTGCTACCAGTAGATCTCTCCTGTTTCGCAAGGTGCACCAGCATCCTCGCGAGAGGAGGCAAAGCTAAGTGCTGCTCTGGTGGCGCTACGTTCCCTGCGAGCGGAAAGTCGCACCGAGGAGAAGAAGGGACCCCGCGACGCCGGACCTGCATGCAAGGTACATGTTGCCCACTTTGCAGGCATTGTGGCAAGGATCGGTTAAGGATAATTTGCGGTGAGGACGGATGGTTCTTGAAATTCGAGTGGCGACAACAAGGGTGACGATTACACAGTGATGATGCTGACGAGGACAAGGGGGAGGATGAGGATCATGACGAAATGTAGAGTCCATGTGGACGAGGATGACGATGACGTTGGGAGAATGTGCAAGGTGCGACTCAAGCGATGCTTTACGACTCCAATACCAGCATGCTCTACCATTAGCAGTGAAAGAGTGTGTTCGTGTGCATCTCGCACGAGTGTTAGTAGTTTGACGGGAGTTTTGCTGTTGTTGAAGCCCAGGAATCAATCTTCCATGTGCCGCGTGGGCAAAACCTCCGGGCGACTACAAAGAGAGTTGCCGGGGGGAAACATCAATCCAATTTGAAATGGATTCAACAGAACAGCAGCTTGGAGGCAAGTTTCCAGGTTCTTGGGATCTTGACGCCAAAGCACCGGCCAAGAATAACCGGAAGGCGCCTGCATTTGTGCAGAAGCTAAGGCGGAGCAGAGGTTTCGCTCCTTGGTGGGCCAGGCACTGGCAAGCCGCTCAAGGTGAAAGTTTCGGGAGATGCCCGGCTGCATCTAGCCGCGCATCTTGCTTGCGACAATGCGGCAAGAACAACAGGATGTGGCGGCTTGGAACATGTCGGCGCCTAACGTTGCTCAGGAGGCGAGCAGCTGCGAAATCGCTGCCTCCATGGTCCGCGACCTTCTGGCGTTGCTGTGCTTTGTTCGCAAGTGGGGGAGATTGAACCAGCTTCAGCCCCATGGCCGGCATGGATATGTCTCGTTACATGGCACCAAGGCCTGCCAATGTGCAGACGGGGCGCCAGCCGCGACGGAAGTCTCCCCGAGGATTTGCTCCGATGTGAAGCGGGCACAAAACGGTAGCTCTCTTTGACGATTGATTGCAAGATCAAAGCCGGTCGAGCACAATCAACCTGTCGGTTTACTTAGATTTGCCACACGGCTTGGTGCGAAGACCTGCTCACCTTTGTTCCAGTGTGCTCAAAGCTAGATTGACGGCGGCCTGTCAGTACATCGAAGTTTGACCCACAAGACAGCGAGCATTGGATACATCAGAAGATTTTGTTACTGAAGCTTCTGCTCATCTTGCGCGGCTTGATCTTGCACGTCTCTTCGTATCGTACATCGTAGTTCGCATGGCGACGTTGCGGCAGAGAAGTCGCCGCCAGCTCTTCCGGCTAGCAGGGGCCTCAGCTCCAAGTCGTCGAACCATCCTAACCCCCCCAGGTACCTACTTTATAGGGTACTAGAGCCCCTAGGGCCCTTTATAGTAGGTACCTGGGGGGTTAGGGCATCATGTCGACGACTGCTTGCAGTGTCTCTCTTCCACGGGCAACTGGAGCTGTGAGCGCCGCTGAACACCGCAATGAAGCCTAGAACAGAAAGGCTGCAAGGCCTTGCTGACTGAGGAAGTAGTTTTCGAACATTAACTTAACTAAAGGTCTTAATCCAGCGTTTAAAAGCGGCACAAAAGACCTGCTTCTTGGCTGAGTCCTCCACTGCAATGCGCATGTCCATAAATCGGCTGCACAGGGGACACCGTGAGTTCGCAGCTGTGAAACCCCAACCCTTTGGCGTTCGAATCCTCATCGCTAAAAGTGAGGTGCTTGCAGCCGCCTGGGCGCTGTTGGCACTGGCCTTTCAAAAAAGTTCAGGCACGTGCCGTGGTCTGGGGCGGGCTTGCCTTCGGCAGACATGTCCTGACCGTCAGCAGGGCCAGCTGTGATAGAGCCGACATGCGCACCATGCACACTTGGTTGCAATCTCGGCGCGAACACACTAAAACACACTTATTCCCACAGGCCACGTCGCCATGCCCAGAAGGTTCGCAGGTGCAGACACATCGGGCTAGAGAGCTGCAGTTGCAGGCTCCTCTGAAATCAAGGCCTTCCTCGCGGATCAGGCCTCACGGCGAAGCCCTTGCGAGAACCAGAACCGCTCTCCGGTTTGGGCTAAAAATCGCGAGCCAGGCCAGGGCCATGCAAAGGGCGCATGGGCAGCTGGAAGCCGCAGCGGCGAAGTTGGGCCGCCCTCCAAGGAAGGCGAGCTCGTGCTAGTGGAATGTTTCGCTGCGGCACCCATGCAGCACAGGTGACTCTGAGGGAATTCCTGCTGGACTCCACCTTCGTGCCGCCTTTGGTGGAGTACACGTCGGAAGAGGCCGACGGTGTTCACCATGCGAGAGTGGCCATCGCTGGGACGCCGTATGCAGGCACGGCAGCCAAGCTTTTGTTCAGGCTCCTCTCCGCTGGCTTCTCGCGCTCGCCAGGAGCACCAGCATCCTCGCGAGAGGAGGCAAAGCTGAGTGCTGCTCTGGTGGCTCTACGATCGCTGCGAGTGGAAAGTCGCAACGCAGCGACGCCAGGACACCAGGACGCCAGACCTGCATGCAAGACAGCTTGTTGCAGGCATTGTGGCAAGGATCGGTTGAGGATAATAATGGCGCTAAGGAGGGTTCTTGAGATTCGAGTGGCGACAAGAAGAGTGACGATTAATTACATTGGGATAAGGGTGATGATGCTGACGAAGACAACTGGGAGGAAAACGATGATGACGATGATGTGGATGAGGACGCGGATGACGATGGCAATGGGCACATCTCTATCAACAAGTTTTGCGGTCTACACGTTTTCAGCACGTCCGCCGTCCAGTATGAAGGTGGGCTTGGGCTGGTGCAAGCTGCAACTCAAGCGATGCTTTGCGACGCCAACACCAGTAGAATTTACGAGTAGCAGTGAAAGATTGTGTTCGTGAGCATCTCGCACGAATGCTAGCCTCATAGAACTTATGGTAGGCTGACGGGAATTGTGCTGCTGTTGAAGCCCAGGAATCAATCTTCAGGGTGCCGCGTGGGCAAAATCTCCGGGCGACTACAAAGAGAGTCGCCGGGGGGAAGCATGAATCCAACTTGAAATGGATTCAACAGAACAGCAGCTTGGATGCAAGTTTCAAGGTTCCGTGATGGATGTGCTGTTCGGCGCAGCCTCATGTTGGGATTTTGAGACGAAAAAGCATCGGCAAAGAATAACCGGAAGGCGCCTGCTTTCGTGCAGAAGCTGAGGCGGAGCACAAGTTTCGCTCCTTGGTGGGCCAGGCACTGGCAAGCCGCTCTCGGTGAAAGTTTCGGGAGATGCTCGGCTGCATCTGGCCGCGCATCTTGCTTGCGACAATGCGGCAAGAACAACAGGATGTGGCGGCTTGGAACATGTCGGCGCCTAACGTTGCTCAGGAGGCGAGCAGCTGCGAAATCGCTGCCTCCATGGTCCGCGACCTTCTGGCGTTGCTGTGCTTTGCTCGCAAACGGGGCAGATTGAACCAGTCTTGATTTGGTAGCTGCATGAAGCTGCAGCCCCATGGCCGGCATGGATATGTCTCGTTACATGGCACCAAGGCCTGCCAATGTGCAGACGGGCCGCCAGCCGCGACGGAAATCTCCCCGAGGATTTGCTCCGATGTGAAGCGGGCACAAAACGGTAGCTCTCTTTGACGACTGAGTGCAAGACCAAAGCCGGTCAAGCACAATCAACCTATCGGAACGGTCTGAAAAGTCGCTAGCAGGCTTCCACGGCACGCTTACTTAGATTTGCCACACGGCTTGGTGCGAAGACCTGCTCACCGTTGTTCCAGTGTGCTCAAAGCTAGAGTGACGGCGGCCCGTCAGTATTGCGAGTTCTGACCCCCCAAGACAGCAACCGTCTGGCAATGAAGCTTCTGCTCATTTGCGCAGGCTCGCATGACATGAAGGCCACTTAAGAGACCTTCATGTCATTCGAGCCTGCGGCTGCGACTTCCTCGCGGAGCAGGCCTGGCCCTCAGGCCCACAGCCCCATCCCGCCTCGATACTCCCGAGCCCGACAGTAAGGCGATGCAACGGGCTGCAAACCCTCTCCTCCTTGGAGCTCGGATGTAGCAAGGGCATCTACCCGTATGGGTATGCATACTTGTCTTTGGCACAGTTTACGTCTTTTTGTATTCAATTCATTTCAATGATATCATATTCTATCATAGCATATTGCAGTACGCGCAGCTCCTCCGGCAGAACTGAAGCCCCCAACTACATAAATCTGTCCTAACCGGAAGCCCGAAGACACTACGCAAATCCTGCATTTTCAACCTGAGCCCCGGATCCTCTTATACCCGAGGCACACACCACCGGCTTCTCCCCTGGCCCGGAGCCCAGACTCTGGGGTCGAGCCGGGTTTAAAGAAGCTTTAGGGTTTAGGGTTTAGGGTTTAGGATGACGCACTTAAGGATGCTTAAGGGTTTTGAGCATGAAGGTTACCGATTTTAGGCTAAAGAAGACTTTGGGACCTTAGGCTTCGGGGTGTGCTGTGGAGAGTTCATGAGGTTGAAATGCCGATGTCCACAGGGAGACGCAGACCGGTACCGGTACGAAGTACCAGGGCAAAGTAGGAAAGACAAGTATTCCAGACCCCACTCTTTCTTTTTGAATCGTATTATGAGTATTTTTCTTATCCTTATGTTTATGCTTTTGCTTGTGCCTATGCTTATTCTCATTCTTTCTCTCATGCTTAGGGTGGACTTTGTAGTTCGGCTGAATCCAAAACTGGACTCGGTTCCAATGCATATGTATATACACAGATACATATATACAATATATCTATCTATATATTGATATATATATATATATATATTTGTTATACGAAATTATATATTTCTTGATAATGCCGGTAATACCGGCAGGAGGTGCTGCAGCTCTGAGCTTCGAAGATCTTTTTTGCGGACATTCAGGTAGCCAAAGTCCCCACAACCGACACGGTTCAATCTCCACAACCCCGCACCGACCGCAGCCCCCTTTGCATCAAGTTCGCGGGAATTCCAGACGGGAATCCAGACGACTCGGAAGGAGTGCCAGCGATGCTCGTCCTCGCGCTGCTGATCCTCCCGATCTCCCAGGCCTCCATGTCAGCTCAGTCACTGCGAGGTCCCCGAGGTCTGGCACTCGGACAGCCTTCGGCTGAAGCGCTGGTTGCAGATGGCCCGGAGATCGTGATTGACCCGACAAACCACTCGCTGATCGTGGAGAACCTCATCTCGTGCCACTACGGCGTGCGATGCAACGGCACAGAGGTTGCGACGAATGGCACAGCGGCATGCAACGGCACGCTTGTGTGCCGGGTCGAGGGCCATCACTCCGAGCCTCCACGGGAGGCGAGCGACCCCGCAGCTGTGAACTATGTGCAGATGACTGACCTCGCCAACACAACGGTCGCTGTGGGCAACCTCCTTGTTTGCCGCTATGGCTCCTACTGCAGGGGTGGCTGGTGGTGGCGTGATGGCCACAGGTATTGCCACGGCGGCATTGTTTGTCGCTCGGGCCCGTACTACCTGGACAAGTTTGACACAGACACCAATGCAGGTGCCCAGGCAGCTGAGCCTCCTGAGCCAACCGGTAGTGACCAGGGAGCTTTGAGCAACTTGAGCAACTACACCACCATGCAGAGCGGTGCCGAGACCAACCTTTTGGTCTGCCTCCATGGCTCCTACTGCCGAGGTGGATGGTGGTGGCACCATGGTCACCGCGAGTGCCGAGGAGGCCTCGTTTGCCGAGGTGGCCCCAGGGGTGGCGGTGGTGGTGGCGGCGGTGGGGGTGGTGGCGGTTGCTGCCATTGCAGGTAGACAGCTGCTGCATACTTTTGAGGATGTCTGAGGGACCCATGAACTTGTACAGATGGCCGGCACCGGGCCTAACCTTTATTACAAGCACTGTACAGAATGAAGATCAGGTCCGCAGTGGCCTCAACTTTTGTTGACCCTCGCCGAGTTGGCCGCCAACTCACTTGAGCGGTGCACCGCTCAAAGCATCCACAAGTCTTCGTGCCCGTCTCGTTGGGCATGTCCGGCATGTTTCGTAGGCTTAGCACGCCCAGTGAACACCGTTGGGGTGCGCAGGCGCAGGGCATCCTCTTCAACGGCGGCTTCACCACTGATGCGAAGCTGGATCCGAGGCAGATGGGGTGCATTGGCGTGAGTCTCGAAAGTAAGCCAGCGTCACTGCGAAAGTTGACAACTTTAGATATATATAAATAAATAAATATATATATATATATATATATATCATACACATACATTTTCACACACACACACACATGTATTCATTATTTCTCTGCTTGTCGCTGCAAGCCTTGTGATCCTGTGCAGTTTGCCGGCGAGGGATCAAGCGAGGGCCCTGGACACCTGGAGGCCGGGGTCGCAAAAGGTTGAACCATGGGGTGACGGGCTGTCTTAGTGTGGGCCTGCTGAGCATGCATGCTAGACATTCGTGTCCTGTTATTGAGCTTGGGCCTCGTTCGACCCAGGAATCAATCTTCCGCGTGCCACATGGGCAAAAGTTTTGCCCACGTGGCACACGGAAGATTGGCCGCAAAACCTGCAGATGGCTACGACGAGAGTTGCCGGAGGGAAACATCCAGTTCAAGGTGGATTGAGCAAAACCGCAGCTTGGATACAAGTTTCAAGGGTCCGTGATGGAATGCTGTTCAGAAGCTGCGATATGGCGACCTTCCATCTCGCGCAGCTTCTTGCCTCCTGAACAACATGGCCGCGATCTGCTGGTGCTGTTGCACTTTGCTCGAAAGCGTGAGATTGAGCCAGTCCTGGTACTTGCATCTGCATAGCGGGCATGGATGTCTCGTTGTTACATGGGGCCAAGGCCTGCCAATGTGCAGACCCGCCGCCAGCCGAGACGGAAGTCTCCTCGAGGATTTGCTCCGATGTGAAGCGAGCAAAAGGCCGCAACTTTGACGATCCTTCCGCCGCTGCCGCAGCCGCCACCACCACCGCCACCACCACCAGCGCCGCCACCAGTAGCACACCGAAGAAACAACGACCCCACAATCGAAGCAGCATCTGCCACTCTATCAGCAGCGACCGCGATGACGACGATGATACGAACTGATAACCTCCGCGACATCGGTGGCCACGGCCGCGACGACCACAACGACAATGCATGGAGAACAGGTAGTGGCGATGCAGTCGGAAAACGACGACTTCGACAACAGCAGCTGGAATTCTAGCAGCCAAGACGACAAGCGACGCAAGACACACCAACGACAGCAGAGGTAAAAGCAACAGTGGGGATGACGAGGGTTCTTTTAGCCATCACCGGTACCGTTACTACTGCCGCTTATCCATATCATGGGTAGTTCTCAAAAATAGGGTCCCTTTTTGGCTCCTTGTCAATAAGGGTGCCGTACTAGTTTAGGGACCTAAAACGGGACCCTGATTTAGAGACCTACCCATATTTGTGTCCTTGTAGAAACCCTTATAGAAGCTGTTACCGATCCCTCTAAGGAACCCTACGAACTACTCATACAGTACCCCTATAGACACCAGTTTGGATCTCTTGAAGGAACCCTGAAACGGGGACCCATTTAGAGAACTGGGCTGGTCAACACCGACACCGGCACTGCAGCTACGCAGTATGGCATGGCATAGCATAGCATGCATAGTAGAGTATAGTATAATATAGTAGAGGATAACATGGTATAGTATAGTACAGCATAGTCTAGTATAGCAAAGTATAGTATATGTTGTAGTATGTTATAGTATAGTATAATTGTATATCTAAATATCAGTAACCGCACTCAAGAACGATAGATGCAGAATTGCTGCTTCGGAAATGCAGCTGAATCAGACAGTAGCTGTTGGTATCCTACGGTTGCTCATCGCAACATTATGGTCCCCTGACTCTGAAAGTTATGAAAGCGCTTATGATCTCTTGCGACGTCGCCGTGCCGCCCGCAGCTTTTCCCACTGTAGGAATTGTCTCCAGCAGTATGGTCACTGGTTAGATTTCGTGCCGTGGTACTGCCCTCAGGCTTATTGGGTCTGGCATTTGCTTGCCGTCCGGAGTGCGTTTGATGTCGATTTCCTGGCAGTGCCATAGCTGTGGAGGCTCTGGCTGTCAGGTTTCTGCGAAGCTCAAAACCCACCACGTTGCGGGATTTCCATCTTCTGCTGACTTTGGACACGGAGCTGCGCACTCTGATAGTTGCATCACCATCATTTCGCCAGACATGCTGAGACAACACGACCCGTTTAGAGCATGATGCGACTGAGCCCGAGGCTGCAACCAGCAAGATCAGGATGGTAACGCGCATCACACCGGTGTTTGTTTCTGTGCCTGGGCTGATTATCAGACTGTTAAAGTCAATCATCTTCTTGTCGTCGCTGCTGTTGTTGTGGTGATGGTGCTGGGCAAAAATTCGTGATGGTGGTAATGATCGTGGCTGGTTTCGCTGTTTCGCTCCTGATTCTTACCCGGTCTTAAGCCCTGGCTGCCCTGGCTGACAGCATGACACAATCAAGCAGTGGAGTTGAGGGTTTACTTGGAGGTTCATGGGTAGTTATAAGTGGAGTTATAAGTCCCCTAATATGGGTTATAATTACAGTTACCCTACTTATAACCCCACTTAAAAACAACCCATGGACCTCCAAGTAGGGAGTCAGATATTGCTTCTTGCACTTTCGGCAGCTGCCCTTTTGAAGCTGGCTGCGGAAGACTGGCTGGATGCACCGATGACTTTTCTAGTTACAGGGCCCGGCGAAGGCCGTTCCGCCTAGCCGTTTGCGACATGTCGAACTTGAGCTTTGTGAAACTTTGGGCGAGTTCTTGGATCCTCAAACATCGTGAAGTTTAGGGTTTCACAGTTGCATCCTATGCCCACAAATCGGAGGGATCGATCTCTGCTCCATCGCTTTGAGAGCCGGTGGTTTCCGTCAGGCAAAGCTTACATCTCCCTTCACACGATAACATACTTCAATATACTATGTTATCGTATATTTTTAATATTGTAGCGTGAACCCCCCAGGTACCTATTACATAGGGTACTAGAGCCCCTATAGGGCCCTATATAGTAGGCACCTGGAGGGTTAGGGCTATGTTATAGTATATTGTTTAGTATTGTCGGCGTTTTCCCACGCGAAGTCTGGCATGCAAGAGGGCTGACAGGCAGAAGTCTGGATGGGATGATGCTGACAGTAGGGACACCGCATCCATATGGGTTGTCTCCTGTTCCTTTCCATCCGACGTTTTGGAGCAGTGTTTCAGCTCACCGGAGAGATTTTGCGACGATGATCATATTAAGAATGTATGTAATGTCTATTAATGTCTACACCATGCCGAACAGCATCAGTGACATTTCATCTCCATATAGCGAAGCACTATATCATCATCATCCTCATCAGCATCAGCGCACCATCATCGTCCTTGTCGATTTCGTCGTCGTCGTCGTTACTGCTTTCATCATCATCATCATCATCGGCCCCAGTATCAGCATGTTGCGAATCACTGTAGTCACAGCGACAGTCATCTGCATCATAGCAGAAACTGTGTTTGTTGTGGCATATTATGGTATATGTTGGTATAGTATAGCATAGCATAGTACAGTATCGTATAGTATAGTACAGCTCGACCGGCAAAGGCGTGTCGTAAGTTGTGTCCTTGGCATGGCACATTCCACTGCCTTGACCACGAACGCTTTCTGTAACTTATTGTGTTTAGTTCTATAATGTACTATAGTATACCATAATATATTAGAGTATACCATAGTCTACCATAATATACTAGAGTATACCATAGTATACCATAACATACCATGGTAAAATGTGCAAACCTTGTCTTTTGGTTGGCAGGGCGTCTTGCCAAGCCAAGGACGGGACTGGAAGAGATACATACATCCTGCTCGACCAGGACGGTTCCAAATCCCAAAGCCCCTAGACCAACTGCCTGCCGACAGCAGTAGGGCTTTCTGAAGAAATTTTCATGGTGGTGGTGCAAATGACAGTGGTACAAGAGAGGGTGTGGGAGAATCACAGCAACTGGAACACGAGAATTCTTCAACCTGCTAATACCTGCACTGCTTGCGGTTCTTGTTGTACTTGGCTCTCGTGGTTTCGTAGTGGCAGCGCAGCCTAAGCCCTAAACCCTAAGCTCAGGCGGGCAAGGGGGCGGCAAACACGAAAGCCCTAAATCCTAAACCCGACACTAACCTCTAAGCCCCCAGTTCCAAACCCCAACCCCTAATTCCAAACTTACCCTAAACCCTGAGCTAAACCCTAAACCCTAAACCCTAAGCTTGAATTGACATGGGAAGGCTGACCTCCGACATCGAGCACAAATCTACGAAACTCTACTACAACATACTATAAGTTACTATAGCATTCTAAAATTTACTTACAATCTACTATAATATACTAGAATATGCTACAATATACTATAATATACTAGAATATACAAGAAGATGCTATAATATGCTATAATAAGCCATAACAGACCATCATAGACTTGATTTTTGGGAGCCGGGTCTGAAGAGCATTCTCAGCCCAGCAGGCCGATACCATACGAGCCTCACCATTGGAACTTATGTCTAAGATTGAAACCATTATGGTTTAGGGTTTAGGGTTATTGAAACCATGGGCCTATATGTACCCTTAAGGGTCCCTAGAAAGGCCTATGGGTGCCTATGGGTCCCATTAGAACTTATGGTTATTGCTCTTCCGGTATTCTTCTATTGGGTTCTATACTTGGAGGTTCATGGGTAGTTATCAGTGGAGTTATAAGTCCCCTAATATGGGTTATAATTACAGTTACCCTACTTATAACCCCACTTATAACTACCCATGAACCTCCAAGTAAGTGTTCGATAAGGGTACTATTAGGGTCATTGCTATTCTGGCATTCTTACATGATGGTTATTGTTCTGGAATTCTGATGTTGTTATTGTTGCTCGGGCGTTGTAACATTGTTATTGTTATTCTGGTAGTTCCACACCCTAAACCCTAAACCCTAAAACCCTAAAACCCTAAACCCTAAACCCTAAACCGTTCCACGTTGTTGTCGGAGGCTCGGAGGGCCTTGGCATAGGAAGCCGGTGGGAAAGATAGCTAGGGCAGCAACTGGCGAGTTGCTTTGCTACCTTTTGCTTCGGAGCAGGCTGCTCCAAGAAAGGCCCCAAAAGGCAAAGGTCGCAGGCATGGGAATCTGCGATGCAGCACCGACCTTGACAAGAAAGGCCACAAAACTCAAGAACTCGCACCTGACAAGTCAGCGTCCGCCTGTGCCCGCTGGGCGTCTGCACAAGAAAACAGTCGGTGCGAAACGCTGCATGGAGAAGATTAACACGATGATGGAGCAAAGGAGCTTCGAGAGCACAAGATCCAACCATTATCACAGTCATAGCAGCATTCGTGATCTCTACTTGATCACAGTTCTACTGCTATCGTAGAGAACATTGCTATCCTTAAAGAGCGAACCCAGCGTACTATACATATATATATATATAACAAAAATAATACTACTACTAATAATATTACTTCACAGAGCATATCATGTTGATTTACAGAAGAACATACCAGAGTTTTTCGGATGATTAATAGTCTTGGTAAACCGATTGCTTTTGCTTTACTGACACTATTCCTCCTACTACTACTACTACTACTACTACTACTACTACTACTGCTACTGCTACTGCTACTGCTACTGCTACTACTACTACTACTACTACTACTACTACTACTACTACGACCACCACGACTACCACCACCAC